CATAAACTAGAGAACTCAACTTTGTTTGCATAAAGCTACATAAATATCCCATTGCGAAACTTTATCCGGCGCAATATTGCGCTATATTCCATGCCATATAATGGCATGTCCGTCATAACTTATTTGCTTCTATACTTCTTTTCTCTCTCTCTCTTTCTTTTTTTCTCTTCTTCTCTCTCTTTCTCTGTCTTCTTTGTCTCTTTTTTGATAAAAATATTTTAAAATTGTTTGTTTCGTTTTTCTCATCCATGCAAGAAGTTCAAATTTACAATTATAACTTTTATGAATTCTTTCGCATTTCGACGTTTACGTATTCAAAAATAATATGAAATTGTCCTACGTGAGTGTGTTGTCTTAGCAGCCTTTTAATATTTTACTGCAGTTAGAGCGATCGTTAATATTTCTAGTACACTTGGCTTAAAACCACTGACCCGAAAAGAATATCCACTATATTCTTTCACCTATATACACTCATTTCGCGTAATAATTTTATTTATTTCGCCATAAATGTTTCTGCTCTTTTTCGTCGATGAAACTGTCGAATGTTCTCCATGTACGAGTAAAAAATCATCGAGATAGTATTTGACTCTGATCTGTCAAAATAATAGCATTTTTTTTTTATTATTTCGATACATTCCTAAAATGCATTCTTTTAAAATGCGAATCAAAGCATTATCATTGATCCGCGATTAATGGCTACGTCTTAATTTCTTATTTAAAGTATAATAATCGAGGTCAAGACGGTTTCAGTGCAAGTATCATCGGATAAGATAGCTAGATGCACGTGTCGAGTGGAGATATTGAGAGATACCTTGCTTGTAGACACAATCGAGCTTGTGGACGGTTGATTGAAGTGACCGCAATAGTCTGCGGTGGTGTTCAGTTTGTCGGAACAGGCTCTGAACATTCTCTTTGGTCACATAAAATCTGTACAATCGCGGTTAAGCCATATCGCACGCGAGCCTTGAAACGACCCTCGGCATAGTTTCCTAATCAGTATCCGGAATATCTGCAATGGTTGCGTGCCTGTATGCGGTTATGAAAACGCTATGTATCTAAAGCGCGAATTGCTGTTTACCTAATTTAAATGAACGCGATACTTCCGGTAATAACATGTAATTTTTGATTAGCGGATAATAAACGCTATCGAATTAAATGTTTTATAATTAAAATCTAAAAGTATCATATTATTATTAGATTATGAGATACACACATTATTACGATCGCAAAATTGAGCATAAAGTCAATAGTTATTTACTAAAGTGATCAGACATTCGTTAAATGTCATTCACTTATTCGACTTTCTTTGAAATAATCTGCGTTAAAGAGCACAATGAAATGATAAAAGATAAATACGTGCGTGCGAGATTTTTGGCTGTTTTGTTTTTAAATTCGGACAATTCTAGCGAGCGTTATATTGCGGTAGAACACTTTTTCTTTGTGCTTTTTTTCTCTTTCTTTCTCGTTTAACTGCATGGTGGACGACAGCTTGTTAAACCTTCAAATATTTGCCCCACGCTGCTCGAAAATTCAGGCTGAGGATTCGAGGCCCAGAAAAACAGAGTACGTTGGAACAGATCCAGGCGATAGCATGCTGCGAGATTCGACAGTTGAGAGAAACGAAGTGCCGTTACTTTTGGCACTTCAAAGAATAAAAATTTCTCTGAATCGAAGATTTGATTACTGTTACACTTCGTGAAACAGAACAGAACTCTCATTTAGTTTCTTGTTCTATGTATTTATATTTCTCTTATTTAAAGTTTATTTAAACTCCAATTTTCTTATTTGAACTAAGATTTTTATAATTTAAGGGATTTTATTATATATACGTATATATTTATAAACTGAAAATTAGAAGATTAAAAAATAACACATAAGATTAAGAAATAACTTGAAATTTACGCTAATGAAAAATTGACTGCAAATGCATAAGAGAAATGTTAGTTTAAAAATTTTTTATATATCCTGTAAAATTTCTCAGTTCTACATTGCAGTTAAATTAGCGAGACAGAATTGTCTGATCACGCGCAGTTATGGTCCCATTAGCCTACAAGATCGACGGATCTTTGGAGAACTCGGCCGGCAATGAAAAGTTTCAACGAGACGTTAAATTATGCAAGAGAATGCGGCAAAATAATGACCGTGTGGATTAACCTCGACCTTAGATGGGGATTTTGAGCAGTAGTTTATGAAAGGGGCGAGGTTAAACGATAAGATCCAATTATCGAGAAACAGTTTATCTCGCGGACGCGAACGAAAGGATAAGCCGGCGGAAAATTCAGAGCTCACTTTTCTCTGTGGAATGGACCGGAACTCCGGAAACATCCGATATACGTCGCGAGAGAAGAAAAGCTGATTGTTAACTTCATTGATGTACGACCGTTTTAGAAAATCGAGCTATCGAGATGGGAGTAATTATAAGATTGTCGGCGATAAGCGTGAATAGAATAACGTCTATATCTCTCTTGTATTTTACTTTCAAAAAAGTCAGATAAGATAATTTTTTAAACATACTATCACGCAGATGTGTGTGCAACTATTATGTTAAGATACCTTTTAGTACTTGTATATTACAAAATAAAGAAAATTATCCTATATATAATACCGAATCACTTAGCATTCAAGAAAATAATGTATTAATTTTAATTTCGACAATTACAAATGTTGATTAATATTTCCAATACTGAATTGGTTTGAAAATCGTCCTTCTTTAACGCGGTGTAAAGTTCGTATTGTAGTACAACATGATATATTATTTCCTTGTTCCTATCGGCGCTTCTCCCTTGCGTGCTTTCCGGATACAAGGATCGATATCCATGTCTCGTATTGCTGTATGTTTCGAGGATATATCGAAGCTCATCTTCGTGGATACGAGCCTCCCCTGGGACATGGGAATGCAGCTTCTCGGGAGGTGAGCATTCCTCCTGTAAGACGCGCTTGTAATCAGGATAAGAACGCGGTTTGAACACTGGGAAACCCGAAAGCCAATGCCTTACGTGACGAGGCTGACAATGCGCGAAACGAACGAACGAACCGGAAAATTCCTATTGCGACAGTAGTAAAAATGGCAACAATATCGTTAACTAAGCGTTACATCACGAACAGTCTCATCTTGTATGTCAAGAAGTCGCGAGGATCGTTGCATGCATTCACTCGTCGCATATTTGTCTTTGGAATATTTCTTTTGACATGCGGATATGATATAGAACAACGCTTCTGCCGCCTCTGAAGCTACGTTATATCTTGTTTTCGATATTTTCTCAAAGTTTTTATATTCCTTATTTTTCATAAACTCGTGTGCTTCTATTTTTCATTCATGACAAACAACTTTTTTGTATAATATAATTTTAAACATAATATTAAATAAAATTTTGTGAGGGATTAAAATGCAAATATGAAAAATTCTAGATAATGTTTCTTAAAAACATTATTGCAAAAAATCAATTTGCCATTATGTTGCAATAGAATTTTACATATAGACTTTTTAACAGCTTTACCACATAAGTATAGTAATTTACCATATAATTGGTAATGGATTTCTCAAATTAAAAAATTTCATATAGATTTTGTTATATAAGAACTTTTATTTTTTTTTTTTAATATTTTGTACACATTGTTACTTTCAATGTTCGATATAAAATAAGCTTATATAAATTCTTTCTGTTTGTACGTTTGTGTTTTAAAAGGCGTATTGAATTTTTCGAATTCACTAATTGACCATTTTTGTTATTGGTTATAATGTAATCAAATTTCTCGTTTAGTGTCCAGTAACGAATTGGAAACAATCTACGTTTTTATAAGAGTTGACGGCTTTAATTGGTATACAAAAACTGATAAAGGCCAACAGAATAGGATTATTTCAGCTTTGACTGTAGTGTTAATTAAAGCTTAAAATCATCACATTTGTGTGATGCATCTGAAGGGATTTTCGAAAAAATATTGCAAGTACTATATCCGTGACGACGAAATTTTGGTGGAAATAAATTTTTTTAATTTACAAACAGCATTATCTGTACATAAAAGCAAATAATTTTTACATAATAATAATAATTATAAATTGCAATATAAAATATTATACTTAACATAAAATAATTATATTAAAAATATATTGTTAAAGATATAAATCGTTTGTAACATTTAAAAATGACGTCTCATTGCAACATTTTTTCAGGGATTCTTTCTCTTGTTTCTTTTAATATAATACAAATTTATAAGTAGAAAAATTCCAACGAGAAAAATAAGATACCGTATTTATCATGCCCATGTGCAACATCGCGTAATTTATAGTGTTACTCGGCCATCTTTTGTCATCCGTTCTCTAACACCTAAAAAAGCTCACGCGCTCTCGGAAATTTATTATACTAAATTTATAATTGTGAAAATATGCGCAAATAATTTACTTCGTTAACAATGTGCAATTAATTAAATAACGCGCTTTGTGTGCCATTTTATTATGAAACTTGCAGACACTCTGAGAAATGACAGTCCTTCGTCTTTACAAGCTTTGTTAAATGAATATGTGCTTTTCTACAGCAATTTTAATTGCGATTTGAAACTGCATAATGAGTTACATTTCTAACGCGTTAATTCGTCTTGCACGAATGTCAAACACGTTTGTGTCTATTTTTACAAAAAAATAGAAACTGTGTATGTATTTATATATAATGTTAAAAACATGCCATATTACAAATTTACTTTTCGAAGTGTATAAGATATTTTTGTGCAGAATAACCTAGATTTGCTTTTATTTATCTTTCATTCATTATTCCATCTAGTTTCTAATTGTAGAAGTTTAAAACCTGTTTAAATTAAATATAAAATGTATTTTACTATGTTTCATAAATATTAAACAACTACGTAGTAGTATTGTTAAATGCTATTTTTTTACGAATTATGAATAATTTTCATTCCAACATTAAAAATACGTTTTAAACGGGAAAACAGTTATTTAATGTATCTGGTGTATGTTTAAATTGATTAATATTTGATCTTTGTTATAGGACGAGAAGAATCAGTTGCTCATCACAAATCTTTGGCTGAAACTGGTAAGTCTCTCTGATTTACTCAAAATTTCCAATTTGTGAAAAATAAAACAAATCGCAACTTCCTTCAAATTGATTGTTGCCAATTACACGAACGGCATAAAACTCTTCGAAACTATCTGAGTCATTTTTTAACAAATCTTCACTGTTCTATTAATTGGACGTCAGTCTTGATTCATCTAAAGTTGTTTCGAATGTATTTGGGAGTGATCCAATTACCGCGTTACACATCGTCCGGTTTTATCCGACGTTTCAAATCGTTCTCGCGAAATAGTTGCGTCACGTAAATCAGGCAGTTATCGGTGCAAAAAGATGGGGAACAAAAATCGTGATATAAACTGACTCTATTTACATATGATTGCATTTTACTCGTGCAACGCTTATCAGTTTTTATCCGCCAAAAATCGATATGTCAGAAGTAGATATACCACTGCTATTGTTTTATCAATATAAAAGTATTAATCTTTTATCATTCAAAATCCATTATATAAAAAAAAAATTTTTCGTTGCTTCTAAACGTTGAGTGTATCGCGTATTTGCAACTTTATCATTGGATTATTAGCATACTTCAAAATGTATGATAGAAAAGCGCTAGAGGTAAAACCGCGGCGACATCAGATCGGATTTTTATCGGCACCCGAACTATTAATAGGGTAGCCGCAACAGGTTACTTTTTCAAGAAGCGACGATGCGCCCTTATTAAGACTGCGGCAGTGTTTTCTTCCAAAGAGTGGGTTTCGATCCGTTCACAGGGCTCGAAAGCAATCGTCGTTGCTTATTTTTCGCGTTTTGTTGAGCGGCTTGAGGTAAATTCTGCGTGAGTTCACGCGCGTAACAATGACCTAAATTCGAACATTGTGGAATTATACGAATAACCATTTTTTGACTGCTGATTGACGAATCGCACCGCGTCCGACGCGTAACGTCCTTCGGCGCAACTGACAATACAAACAACGATATCAAGGGTGAAAATCGTTATTATTACGCTGCTGATTGGCAGCTAATTTTGCCCGCAGAGATTTTAAATTTTTGCAATTGCGAGTTAATATTCCAGATTCGTTCAAAGAGACAAATTTTATTAAGTGTATCTTGCTGTTATCGCGTTGTCATTTTTAATACCTATATAGATTCTATATTATACTTTTCTTAGTAACTAACTTGTTTTAATTGTGAAACTATTTCGCATTGTGACATCTGATAAGTTAATTTGATAACATTTGCAATTTCGAAGATACTATCGTACCAAAGATATAGAAACGTCAGCTTTTATCTCTCGCTATTTAATCTTTCCTCTGTGTCTCATGACGGCCAATGCATACGGAAATAACACGCAGCTGCATTTGACTTAGAAAACCAATACGTTTCCCAAATATAAATCGTGTAGATATTCAAGGGACATTCGATGTCCGCGAGTATCGATATGGTGTTATATGTAACGTCGCTATCAAATGCACTTGTGTCGAATGCAAGAAAAGAACCGAAATTAAATCCGTGTTTCACGAAGAAGGGCATACATGTTCAAGATGGAAAAATCGTATTTTCAAGATACAGTTAAACATATTTTATCTGTCATGGAAATAACAGAGATCAATGAGAAATATTTTTTTATTTCTTAAAAAATATAATAATCCGTAAAATAATTTTGGATAACCGCGTTATACACATATAATATCAAAATTTAACTTGCAATGTTAATTCAATGTCAGTAACTAATGCACGATGTATTAGCATCGTCCGCGTCAATATTGCAAATATATTTGATATTTGCAATTACGACCGCTAGAAATTATCAACTTAATCCCTGCGGATTGATCATTAAATCACACGCAGCAAGAGATATTCCATTTCCAGACCTATGTCGCGAGTGACGTAACTGATTTATTTTACATAACTTATACTTAACCATTATTTATTGTCGTAAATAAATTGAAAAAATATAAGGTTAAAAAGTGCCTATTATATACGCTCGAAACCCTTCAATATTACTCTCAATACTCACGCTTGCTTATAAAGCAATTCCGTTCCAATTCTCACCGTATCGGTATTGAATAGACTGACACGTTTGACTAATATTTGGTTTGCAAACTGAACGATGAATTAATTTGAAAGAAATGATCGATTTTTGCGAATGGAAAATTATAAATAAAAATCACGATATGTTTGCAATATATCAATAGAGAGAAAAAGAGAGAGAGAGTATGATATTCAATTTATTTCATATTAACCCTTTCATTTTTATAAATTGGCGTCATCACTATTTTACTATTCTAATCATTTAATTATTATTTACAATTTCGACAAATAATTATCTAATACTCATATATTACCCAATTGATATAAATCATTTCCGACCAGCTTATAATACGCCAATTATAACTGTCGATGTATTTATATATCGAGCGCATCTCACTTCCTCTTAAATTAACTGAACACACCAAGATGATCGATGCTGAAATTTATGTAAAAAGTAGAGTAAAATTTGTTCGCGCCGGAGAAACGCAACGCGATTCGACAAAACTAGCATGATGACGAAACGAAACGAGACGAGACGAGACGGCGCTGCATAAAGTTTCGTTACTTCGGTTCCATCGTCTCTATGCACCGAGATGAAAGAAGGGAATGTATTTACATAATTTTCGCTGATGGAACAGGGAATGCAACTAGCGCGACGATACCGCAAGCCGTCGGCGATAGCACGTGCGAAGTACATGTGCGAGCGAGCGCGAAACGTATACCGGGTGTCTCGTAATCTACACGTACGTGCGCGACTGTCCCTAGGTGTTTGGCAATTTCTTCCAATGGATGGGCGATGGTTGCGCGGGACCTGTGAAATGGCTGCCCAGGGATTCTGTAGACTATCGGGTAATGGAGATACCGTGTTCGGATCATTTAGGTATCTTTCTCTGGACGATATAGTGTATTTCGGAAGGCGAGCCCGCTATACGTAACCGTTGAATTACACGTGGGATCTTTCCCGGATTCCAGAGACCTTCTCTTTTATTTCTGTGTGTCTAGCGAGTTATTTCAAAATTATTTCAATAATAGTTTATGAAGTTGACGTTGTTAGAAAATGTTTCCTTGATCGCGTCTTTTTAAAACTTATCGGGCGATTTTTACACGGATATGTAAAAAAACTCCTTGTACATGCTTCTTGTCAGATAGGTTTCGCGAGTTTCATTACTACCGCAGAGGCGATAAATCTCATGGAGCGAAAATAATATATAGATGCGTGTATGGGAAACTTTCCGAACAGTGGTGTGCTTTACTACGTGCTAAGAGTGGAAACCAGTGCAACTCTTGTACGACATAAAATATAAAACTACACGCCAAGGACAATGTATTACGTATAAGTGCATCAGTATGTGAATTACCCCTGAGGCGTGACTAAAACGATTTTTCGTGGACGTTAGAATGCTTGTAAAAAACGATCAGCTTTTGAAACAATCTTAATTTAAAAACTTAATAATATTTTACATGTGAGATAAGCAGTCTCAATATGAATTGACTAAACTTTTTAAATATATTTTAATTCGTCGTCGAAAAAGAAAATCATTTTCCTCTAATTTCAAAGGATTTCTAAACCTGATTAATGTTATGTACATATTTCTTAAGACGTTTGTCATCCATTTTCAATTTATTCACATTATCGACGGAATGATATCGGCAAATCTTCTAAAGCTTTTTCAAGTTAAACAAACTTCTACGTCATGCGAGAAAATCTAAGCTACGCGATCGTGGTGAAGAAACTCTCTACGTCCGATGTAACTTTTCGATCGACTCTAGGAAAGAGAACACTCGAGGTAGAACACGAGCTCGAATCTCGGCGCGTTTTAATGGACCAACCGGTATTATGATTGACAAAGCGCGGAGTTTCATACCTTTTCATTTCTAGTAGAACCTATTTTTTTTTTCGCTTTCTTCCTTGTGTACTGCATCTTCTCATCCTCCACTTTCGTTACATCCCATCCAGTTCTTTTTTTTCTCCATTTCGTACGTGCACTTAGAGACGAGTTCATCCGATGTTCTCAATATATCCCACTTAGAATTCGCAAACGTAGAAAAAAATTATTTACGCATGTACAAAACGATATATAAAATTTGAATTCTTTGTATTTAATTTTAGTATTAATCGCGAAGAGAAACAATACAATTCTTCGACAGATTTGATCAAACTGACGTTATACCCGCGGCTTAGCTTGGTAAGCAAACTGGATTTTTCTATATTTGTTCTCTATATCAATTATTTGGAATTGAAAAATTGGAATCAAATCGAAAAAATTGTTTCGCTCAACAATATACTCTTTTAATTTAAATTTTTCTTTAATTATAAAATAAAACAATATCTAAACGCTTAAATAAAAAATGTGCGAAAAAAGCAGGAATTTTGGCTAAAATTTTCTGATGCTAACTAAAATGTGTCACAAGAATCGGCAATAGTTTACATTTCGCGTGATTTACAACTGATTTTTTTTTAAGTCAGGAAAAGAAACTCAGTTAATTTTTTGATTAAAGTTCGATTTAATTATTAACGGACATTCCACACTTGGAAAATCTAAATCGTAAATAATTCAGCTGGTGTATTTATCGAATAAAATATCTTAATCTTAATTAAGCGCATTAAATTACGATACTTTCTTGCGTGCGTTAATTACTCAAATCGAGAACTCTTGATTTGAAGCGCCACTATTTATCCGTCAAATTTGATTGCTCAATTAACCGTGTAGTAAAAAATAGAGCAATCTTACCCGATGTTAATTTCATGCCGATTTAATTTTCAACGTTTCCTCGATATCGTGCATTTTATTTTTTTTCCTTGCCGCGGGCCAGGATCCATTTATGAAGGAGTGCAATATCGTTATCAAAAGGTTGCCTGGGCAGTAATATATGTAAAGACGTCGATACACGGGTCGCTTTCAATATAGCTCTCGCATACTGATTAGGAATAGATTTCTGTTACCATGTAAATACAGCTGTCAAGCCAACAATCGCGGAAAATTACAATA